ATAATTGAGTATTTTGTAAAATTATTAACATACATCGTAATATATTGCAGGTGCCACTCGAAGAGTTTGGACGAGACAGTGTTGATTACAGACCTGCTTTCACTACAGATGACCTTTTGATAGTTGTGAAGAAGCTGTTAAATGGACAAAAGATAGCAATTATATGGGGTTTCGAATTGGTCATCTCGAATACGAAAAGGAAAAAAAACATAAGGTGTTCGACTTATGTTTGTGATTGATAACATTCATTATATTATTGATATATTATGATATTCGACCGTGTTTATACGTTAATTTCGAGTTATGTTTGTTATGAACTTGTTGAGGATAAAATGAACTAACAACAAATACAGTTAAAAAATGATATTAGTATAATTAGTATAAATTATATTATTATAAATTAGAAATGATACTAGTTTGAAAAAAAATTATATTAGTATAAATTATTATGTTATATATTTAAATTGATTATCTTATAAATTAGAATTTATTACTATTATGTTAGAAGTTAGAAATTATGATATAGAATTAGAATTGATTGTTTTATAAATTTGAATTTATTACTATTTTGTTAGAAGTTAGAAATTACTATATTATAGATTAGAATTGATTGTCTTATGAAGTAATATTTAGTACTACTGTGTTAGAAGTTAGAAATTATTATGGTGTTATACATTATAATTATTATCTTATAAATTAGAATTTATTACTACTATTTCTAATGAAGCTATCGAGCGGGCAAAAAAAAATTGAAATTATATGTGGTTTCGAATTGTCATCTCGAAACACAAAAAAGAAGAAAATCAGAGGGTTTTGAGGTGTCACAGAGGGGAACGTTACAGAGGCAGTATAGAAGATTTAGCTAAGGCTGTTGTGACACGTTCGAAAACTAAAATGACCAACTGCCCTTTTCAGATAAAAGTCAAATTGGAGGCATGATCTATAATGACTGTGTATGCCGAGAGTCATCGATAGATGAGCAGACTTCGTCCAAGCGAAACAACTTTTAATGGTTTAATTGCTGCATTGAAATTAAATTTAGCTATGGCACTGACATCATGATCCCAAGCGTGATAAAATTGATTCGATTAAATACAAGTCCATTAGAGAATGAAAGTCAACGGCAAGACATTTTCATTAATACTTCAATTAAACATGAGCTTGAATGCTTTTCCTACTATAATATTCATACGAATCATATAACTCTGAGAAAAGTGTCAAACAATCTTGTCATAAAATTCGGTCTAATCATATTGAATTAATCGTTCTCAATGAATTGCTCTAACAGAATTCGATTTTTTCCTTCAATTTGTTATTTAAATTGGTATTTATGAATTTCAAATTTAAGTCATAATATTATTTTGTAATTTAATTATAATGAAAAAAGTATATTAGTATAACTTATATTAGTATATAAAAAATTATATTATTATATTAGTATAAATTATTACGTTATAGATTACAATTGATTATCTTATAAAATAGAATGCAGTAATAATATGATAGAAATTATTGTGTTATACATTAGTATTAATTACCTTATGAAGTATAATTTATTGATACTAGTTTGAAAATTAGTATAAATTATATTATTATAAATTAGAAATGATACTAGTTTGAAAAAAATTATATTAGTATAAATTTAACTTTAATTTCTGAATTAATCGGTCTCAACGAATTGCTCGAACAGAATAATGAGACTTTCATTCTCTAATGGACTTTTATATGATACTGAATTAATCGATCTCAATGAATTGCTCGAACAGAATCTGACTTTTTCTGTTCAATTTGTTATTTAAATTGGTATTTATGAATTTCAAATTTAAGTAAGAATATTATTTTGTATTTAAATTTATTACCGAGTTGAAAGGGAGCGACTTTCGAGAAGCTACCCATATAGGACCGTCTACGGCCGAGCTGACTGATGAGTTCCTTTTTAGCCTTTAGAAAAGAAAAAAGGCTCTCTCCTGAAAGTCAAGCCAGCAGGTTCTCGGGCGAGAGAAAAAGAGTCCTCGCTTTCATAATCTCTGTCTTCGGCTAGTCCTAAAGCGTATCCGACTCTCTGGTTAATAAAAAAATGAGACTACAATTTTTAATAACATCACTCATTAGTATTTTGTTAGAAATAATTAGTATTATGTTATATAACATAATAATTTCTAAGTTCTAACATAATAATAATAAAAATCTATAAGATAATTAAATATAATTTATAATTTAACAATTTTTAAATTCTAACTATAAGATATTAAATTCTAGTTTTATAAAATAATATCTAAATTCTAATATAATGTATATAATAAATAAAAATTTGATTATAAAAATAAAATAAAAATCGGGCGGCCGGCCGGCCAGAAAACTGGCCGTGCATGGTGCGGCCAACCGAGAAAGAAGGCCGTGCACGGTGCGGCCAAACGGGAAAGGAGGCCGTGCACGGTGCGGCCAAACGGGAAAGGAGGCCGTGCACGGTGCGGCCAACCGGGAAAGAAGGCCGGCATGGTTACGGCCGCGATTCGCTGCCGGCCGGCCTAAAAAAAAAATTAAAATTGAAAAGGGTAAAACTGTCTTTTAAGAGTGCGGTATTTAGTAAAAAAGGTGCGGTATTTAACAACACCCTGTAGCCCAGCATCTCAACCCGTAGTAAGATATTGCCCGCTTTGGGCAACTAGCGGCCCGCACGGTTTTGCCTTTGGGAGCTTGCCTCACCAAAACGCGTCCTACTAGTGAAAGTGTCCACAGCCACTTATATGGCATGCTTCGTTCTCCTTCACAACCGATGTGGGATATCTGGCTCACAGGGGCCCAGCGTCCTCGCTGGCACATGGCCCGGGTACTGGCTCTGATACCACGCTCTGATACCACTGTAATAGCCCAACCAACTCGTAGTGTGATATTGCCCGCTTTGGGCACTCTCACCCTCACGGTTTTGCCTTTGGGAGTTGGCTCACAACGCGTTACACTAGTGAAGGTATCCACAACCACTTATAAGGCATGCTTCATTCTCCTTCACAACCGATGTGGGATATCTGGATCCACCCCCCCTTTGGGGGCCCAACGTCCACGCTGGCATATGGTTCGGGTACTGGCTCTGATACCATTGTAATAGACCAGCCAACCCGTAGTGTGATATTGTCCGCTTTGGGCACTCTCACCCTCACGGTTTTGTCTTTATGAGCTGGCTCATAACGCGTCACACTAGTGAAAGTATCCACAGCCACTTATAAGGCATGCTTCGTTCTCCTTCACAACCGATGTGGGATATCTCAAAAACACGTATAATAACCACAAAAGCAATTTAAATGTGACAAAATATAACATTTAATAATATAATTATACATCCTTTTTTTTTTGGTGTTACTATATACCGCACCCCTTTTTACTAAATACCCACTCCTAAAAGACGGTTTTGCCCTTTTTAATTTTAAATTATTTTTTTTTTTCAGAAGCCAGCCGGCCTCTAATCGCTGCCGCAACACACTCGGCCGGCCGGCTAAGGCGGCCGCCTCTCGCCCAGCCGGCTTAAGGCCCGACCGGCCACTCCTAAGGCCGGCCTTCTTTGGCAGCCGACCGGCCCGATTTTTTTTTTAATATTATTTTTTAATTAAATATTAAAGAAATCAATTAGTAATTATTAATGTAATGCAAGTTGCTACAACATTTATAGTCATTCCTTGCCTTTCATTGAACTTTCTCATTCAATGTGAGATAATTGCAATCAAAGTTTTCAGTCTCCCAACCTTTTATAGCCACTTTTGTCCTTCATTATTGTGTTTGTAATCGATGTGCGATTGTCCCTTTTATAGCCATTTTTTGCATTCTTTTTTTGCTTTCAAAATCAATGTGGGACTAAATGGTACATGCTTTAACACACTTTCACTATGTATGTTAAGATGAATATCACATTATCATTAGTTAAACTTATTATTATCTTAAATTGATAAATAATTAAATATAACTAAATGAACATGGAATATGGAAAAACATTGTGAGCTTTTACATAATGAAAGAAATTCACTTACCATCCCAATTTCATTTTTTTCTTTTCATTATAGTTAATTTATTTTATACTATCATAATTTATAATAATTATACCAATGTAATATATATAATATAATATATTAAACTTATTAATATATATTAATATAAAATATATATTTTTATTATTCTATATTAATATATATTCATATATATATATATATGAATGTATAATAATATATATGAAATTATTTATATTTTATATAAATTAAATATATATTAATATAAATTATTAATATATTTTAATTATTAATCAAACTTAATTATTAATTTTTTATTTTATTTTAAAATATATAATAATATATATGAAATTATTTAAATATATTTTTAACATTTCAACATTTTTTAATTAAGAAAAATTAAAAACAACAAAAATTCTAAAAAAAATATACAAAGTAGTTTTTTTAATTTAAATATTTTAAAAACTATATAATTTATTATTATTATTAAATTAAATATTAAAGAAACCGATTATAAATATTAATGTAATGCAAGTTGCTACAGCATTTATAGTCATTCATTTCCTTTCATTGGACTTTCTCATTCAATGTGGGATAATTACAAATCAAAGTTTTCAGTCTCTCAACCTTTTATAGACACTTTTGGCCTTTATTATTGTGTTTGTAATCGATGTGTGGTTGTCCGAGGCCTCTAGCCTTTTATATCTATTTTTTGCATTCTTTTTTGCTTTCAAAACTAATGTGGGACTAAATGATCCATCTTTAACACACTTTCACTATGTATGTCAAGATTAATATCACATTATCATTAATTGAACTTATTATTATCTTAAATTGATAAATGATTAAATTTAGTTAAATGAACATGAAATATGGAAAAACATTATGGGCTTTTACATAATAAAAGAAAATTCACTTATCATCCCACTTTCATTTTTTTTTTCCATTTTGTTAGTGAAAATAAAAATTATTTAAATATTATAGATATATATAAGTTACTATTAGTTAGTTTAAGTATATGAATGTAACTGTGTCCCCTTCCAAATCCACGCCCTCCAAAACGACCTCTTGTACCTTCCATGTTGTACCCCAACCTTCCTCTACCACCTCTGCCTCTTGACCCTCGATGAGAAATGAATCTGTTGGGCTCCTTTCTTCAATGTAGAGCTGGTGTGCACCAATATAAACCGAGGATGCCTTAATCGCATTCTCCAACACCGTAATGTCTTCAAATTCCACAAATGCGTAGCACATATCTATATCCTTCCGAGTTCTAATGGCTACACCATTAGGATTGAGTCTACCGAATTTCTTGAACTCCTCTGCAATCTCAGAAGCAGACATCTTTGTCGGGACATTTCTCACATAAACCGACTTCACCTCAACTTCATCTTCAACAATTGAAGTTTCTTCCAGAGTCTCCATTTGTAAATTCTCAACCGGGCTTTGTGGCATAACTGGCAGTTGGCTAGGGTTTTCATGCACGTGAGGGCTTTCCATATTTGCAGTCTTGTTAGGCACATTTTGTCCTTTAGCAACTATAGAAGCATATGTGTGTTTCTGAGTCTCCACAATGGGTTCCTCCTCTATTGGGGCCGACAGAGGTTCAGGATCCTGGTTGAGAGTTCCCTGAAGAGTGCCGTTTGAGTGAACCTCAAAATCATCATTTGTGATGATTTCTGTTTCGGGCACCTGTTTGAGATGTTCCTCATGATAGTCATAATTATTGACCGAACAATTCTCTTGAACTTTCGACGGGAGTATAAACTCCTGCAATTGAACATCTCCATCTAGCATGTAGTTGTTTGCTTGTTCTCTAGCTATAGCTGAAGAATTGCGCTTGGTATCAATGTTGCTCTGAGGTAAATAAACAATCTTGTGCGGAAGAATTTGTTCTTCGTCAACATAAAGGAAAACATCATTTAGAACAAAGTAACCTTTCTCTTGAGGAGCAAGGAAAAATGTTTCTGTGAACTTTTTCCTTCCATTGAAATTCTTTGCACATAAAGAACCCGAAACCATCACCAGGACTCCCCCACTTCATGATTCTAAAGAATGTGCAGTCTTAATTTCTATCCCCAAATAATTAAGAGCCATAACAAGTTGGTGAATATGCAACATTGAAGTTGCAGTTTCTCTCGCATTCCTATCTACTCGAAGCATGGTGCTTGCATCACTGTAAAACTGATGCACATAATCTGGTTGGGTTTGTAGCATCTGATAGTACTGCCCCACGAAGTATGTCCCCACCTGGGCAGCTGTAACAGGGAGAGAAAACGCCATTGCAATAATATCGCGAATTCAGATTGAGAAACCCCAGATCTATAAACACTAACTATTAAGATCTGCAATGGAGCCAAAATTTGGAAAGGAAGGAATTAAACCTAGCCCCAAAACAGTTCCACTAATTCACATTATCCCTTGCCTTAAGTTGCTAGGTTATTTTTTTCTTGCTGCTAGGTTAGTTGTCTTTTGTTGCTAGTTTAGTTCTTTCTTGCTGCTATGTTAGTTGTCTGATGCTGCTAGGTTAGTTGTCTTTTGTTGCATCGCCAGTCTGATCTCTTCAACCCCCGTAGAAAGGTCCGTAAATCGATCGTCCATCCCTTGAATCCGATCGTCCATCCTCTGAAATCGATCGTCAATGATGTTGTCGTTCACGGTGTTTCTCTTGGGCGGCATCGTGGATCGTGACTGGTCTCTGGATACCAACTGATGTAGAACGTGATACGAACGGAAAATGAATGAGATACTCTCTCGTTGAACTCACGTAATTCTGATAAAATTCAATCATAAAAATTGTCGATGTCTAATACAGTCCCAATCATAAATAAAGAGGAGTCCTACCCCTACAAGTATCTTGTAGGATACTTATTTATTTACTTACTCCTAATAGACAAATAAATAGGAAATAAATAAAAGGAAAGCAAATAATAATCAAATCAAATGCAGAGTCGATCATATTTGTCCAGAAACGCTATCGCGGTCTCGTCTCCATCACATAATAATTTATACTATTATATTTTTTTCAAACTAATATCGTTGTAATTTATAATAATATAATTTATGCTAAATTTTAAACTAGTATCAATAAATTATACTTTATAAAATAATCAATACTAATCTATAACACAATAATTTCTAACATATTATTAATACATTCTATTTTATAAATAATCAATTCTAATCTATAACACAATAATTTCTAACTTCTAACTTAACAAAAATTAAAAACCAAAAAAATTTTAAAAAAAATATACAAAGTAATTTATATGTACAAATAATTTATATATATATAATTTAATATATATATATATATATATATTTAACATATA